TTTTTTTTAAATGCTCTACAATGTTTGAAATTTTAATTTACATGAGTTTTTTAGATGGCTGTATTTTCATTAAAAAATAAAAAATAATTAACATTTTTTAAGCAAATAAAAGTAGCCCAAAACTTGCTTTTCCCTATTTTCATACTCGCCAACGTACATACACAATACACGTATGAATTTCGGCAATGGAAAATTTGCCAATTATGAATTTTACTTATTCGTTTTTCTACCATACGGGGTACTCGTACCTTCATGACCTTCATTTGTAATTTTCCGTAAAGCTTCGCACTTACATACAAGTGTAGTTATAATGGACTTTATTAACAATTTTTACTTATCTCGATTGCAATTCGATCAACGAATTACTCATTATTGGTATAAAAAAAGGTGCGAAACATTTGTAGCAGATAATCTAAATTATCTTTTGTAAATTTGTAATCGTATATATGTACGTATGTACATGCATATGTATGTATGTGTTGTTATCAGTTTGGGCGAAATTTTTACCTGTTACACCTGTTAACAGTTATTTGCTTAGCGGTTCGCTGATAGGCAAAGACAGAAAGTAATAATATAGAAGAAATATAGGATTGTAAATTGCAATGAATGTACAGGTATTAGGAACATGCATTCGACATTATCAGTAAATTCATTTTATCGTTTAGCTATAAATTACAAATAGTGCACTCCAAGTGCGCTTTTTTGACTCACCTGCAAAAGTTTTTGGCTTGTTTGGCACTTATGTAAGTACAACCGCACACCTAATGAATGCACTTCACAAATAAAAATGTTTAGCAAATTTTTGTTTTTTTTTTGTATTTTTTTTTTTAGTAGAAAATAATAGCTAAATTCTGCTTTTTATTTTTCTGATAAAATCCCAAATAGTCCAAAAGAAATCCTGCGAAGCTTCCGAGGAGTTTTGAAAAATTCAAAAAATTTAAATACAACACCCACATTTTTCTGAAAAATCCTGGAAAAAATTCGAGAAAATTAAAAAAATACGAAACATTCCGAAAAATTCGGAGAAGATTAGGGAAAATATGTAAAATCTCGATGATTTAAACACAAAGGGTTTCCAAATTATTCCAAAAACTATATAAAAAATACCGTCCACATCGACAGCGACACATATGAGAAATACCAAATAATTCGAAAAAAAATCCCGAAATAATGTCCAACAATTTCAAAAAATAAAATTTTTTCGTATTTAATTTTTTTTTAAATTGTTCGGCATTATTTCGGTTTCATGTTATTAAAAAATGGCTTTTAAGTCGACGAAAAAATAGTGGGTTTCGATTTAGTTTACCCAGGGTGCTATCCAGTATTTCACGCGCTGGAAAAGTGCAACGGTTTGTTCATGAAGAGCTTCGGTGATTGCCGAAAACAGCAAAATCTACCCTTTTGTGGGTATGACAAAGTACCGAACCCTAGAAGAATTGAACTACTCAGCCGGTATACTATCGGGGTCGGTATACTCCGGGAACTTTGGTCAAGTTTAGTTAGTGGAGCATCCTCTCAACACATTGATCTGGCTTCCTCTTCGTCCAAGGCGTCACCATTATCGCCATTCAACTGGGTCGGGAAATGTGACTTCCATATCATAAATGTTTTCTGAACCTATTTAAATGGATTTCCATCTTCGTTTCTGCATAAACCAGACCCGACCTGGAAACCAATTGCTTTTTATTAAATTTTCTGATAGCCTTTTTAGGCGCACTCTTGTCTGTCAGTATCTACAGATGTCTCTCTTTACTCCTCATTTCCCAGTATCTCTCATTTGTCGCGCGCGACCTCTTTGGTTGCACGGTGGCTTGGTAGATATTTTGCGTACTGCTCTGCAGCAGCGACGCTACACTATTCGCATTACCAGTTATTTCTTGGCAGGTCGCATAAGCCTACTACGACTTCTTCCGCGGCGACAGGAAGCGATCGGGGGATAGATTCGCAAATCGAATTAATATCCGTACGCTGAGGAGTTTCTTTCTAAAACAGGATTGAGAGACGGTTTCGACAGTTCTCGACTGTAAGTTGAGATTGCAGATTTGCCTGATGCACGCTCTTCGAAGCATATTTTCTGTCTATCTCAACGTATTTTTTTTTTCGTTTTTGATCAGAGGACACTTAAGTGGTTTTATGGATGTTTCGCTGATGCTGCCTGGTACTGCTGACTAGATTTCCATACAGAGCCGAAGTCAATCGGCCCTCCTTCGTTGTCACTGGTTTCTTGTGAACGCTGAATGTCCCGACTGTAGGTCCAAAAATATACCTTTCTTGTCCACCCCTGGCGCTAAAGTCGCCAAGCACGATTTTAATGTCATGGCTGCGCAAAGTACGTACGCCGCTTCCCCTCAGCCTTGCGCTATAGGCGTAGCAGAATTCAGTAGACTCTTAAACCGAATAGCGGCAAAGTGGCGCTACTAAAGCTCCCATTACTTCCGCGGTGATCCAAGGCAACTGCCGCAAGGGTAGCTCTCGTTTCCCAGGGGCACAAATATTTGCCCATGGTGAGATTAATTACAAGGTTAGATGGGCCGCTTTAAGTTTAAAATAAAAATTTTAAATACATATTTTTTCGGAGTCATCTAGGCTTCATATTTGACTACAGCACTGATTATACTTATCAGTTACATTACATTAATATGACATCTCTTTTCCTTCCAGATGACCAATCTGTTACCCGCGGTTGTTTGGCAACGACGGATACATGCACCGAACCCAGTTGTCTTAGTTGCGAAACTTCGAATTGCAACAAACACAATCTCTGCAAGTCCTGCAACTCAACAACTACGGCGGAGTGTGCCCAAACCAATGCGACTACACTGAGTAATGCGATCTGCAGCAGCGCCGATACCAAATGCATGATTAGTGTCATGGAGAGCAGAACCGAACGAGGCTGTATAACAGCGGAGTTGGAAACAAATTGCACCAATGAGAAGACATGTAAAATGTGCACGGGTGCTCTCTGCAACGTGGGCATATTTCCAGCGGATCGCCTCAACTGCACCCAATGCACCGAGTCAGATGCGAACTGTGCCAGCGCCAGCAGCAACATTGTGGCACTGCCTTGCTTGTTATATGCGGCCGACGACAAGTGTTATATGTATGCCAGCGATGCGACGCATGTGACGCGCGGCTGCAGCTCCGACGCGTCTGAAAGTAATAAATGCGCAGCTAACAGCACTGATGCGCTATGTAAAACTTGCAGCACAAATGATTGTAACGGATGGAGTTACAATGCGGATCAAACGCTACAGTGTGTGACATGCTCCAGCGCTACGGATGCCCAATGCGCCTGGGGACAAGCGGCCAGCAATGCTACGAGTTGTACGAACCAATTGGAATATTCGCAGGAGGGTAAATGCTATACGCGCACCGATGCGAATGGTACGGTGACACGTGGCTGTTACTATGATCTTGACGAAGCGGCGCAGACGACGTGCGCGCAGGGTATCAACTGTACGATTTGCACAAATGCCAATGGATGCAATAATGTTGATGCGAAGAATTTCACTTGTATTCGTTGTCGAAGTGACAACTTTGCTGGCTGTCGTAAGCAGGCCGATAAAATTGGTGGTGAAAAGTGCACTAATCTAGTGACATCGGATGAGGAGGCCAAGTGCTTTACGAGCGTTTGGAGTAAGTAGGCTGTGTGGTTTAATTTTTTAGGGTAGGTTGAAGGGATCATTGATTGGAATATCTACGTAGTGGATTTTATGTTGGACAGTGTCCGGTTTATAAATCAAGTGCAGCGAGAATCGTCTTTGCGTATCTTTAGTTTGATCGCTTCCGATTCATTTATGACCATAAGGATCTCGCCCACCGCAGGCTGTGCTGACTATATTTACAAATATTCAAAAGCAGGCCCATATAACTTACTTCAAGACCGCCTTTTAAACCTATAGAAATAAGGATTTTAATTTGAGGATATTATGTGGTTAGGGCTGAACCCAGACCCGTTTATTAAGATTAAGATTCAGCGAGTAATAAACATAGGGATATATATGTCCCGTTCCCAGATTCTGACACTTTTTTTGTGGGGCGTATTACACAGCTAACTGAAAAAAAGTGTCGGGATTCGGGAATCAGAATATCTTTTCTTTATGTATTTTAATGAACACGAATCTGAAGTTCGTTTTGGTCCATAACGTCAGGATTTTTTCCTAACCTATAAAGACCTGCCTGTCACATAATAACCGCGAAGTTTTTTTAGTTCAGGGCTGAACCCAGAACCGTTGACTTATTCTGTTGCCAGATTAAAATTCAGCGCGTCAAAGACAGGCATACATATGTCCCGTTCCTAGGTCAAGACACTTCTTTTTGTGTAGCTTGAATGAGTTCCAGACTAAATTAAAAGAGCCGATCCTCGGTAGACAGGAGTTTGTATCACGGAGAGTAACGAGTAATCATCAATGCTCAATTATATACCTTCAGAGATTAAGAACAATGCGAGTTTGGCCCACCTGCCACACATTTTTTAGCTCCTAGTCATTTCTGAGCTGAATTTTCTCCCGGTTTCCCGCGGTGGTTTCGATGGCTGAAAGTGGGAGTGTTATAATTGGTTGCGAACCGCGGAATACCTGGTTCGAGACCACTCTAGACAAATGATCAGACGTCTCATTACCATGCACTCACGAGTAATTTAGCATTCAAACATAAATTTGTAGTTAGACTGTTGATCAATGCCTAGAATTAGAGGTGCAAAACTATCGATAGTCAGACCATCGATAGTTTTCGATATTATTTTCAAAACTATCGATATATCGTCGATAGTATCGTATTTATATGGTTTTGGCTCAATTTTCGTATGAAGATTTCCTTAAGAATATATTTCAGTTTTTTAGCGGTATTTTAAAAGATGCAAGGTTTTCCGTCATTTTCGAAATTTGACATTACTCTTTTAAAAAAGTAGCAACCAAATTTTTAGTTCAACTTGGATGTTTAAGAGAAATGAAAAGAAAAGAAGAAATAAAACTAAAAAATACTGAATCACATGTCTGTCGGACTATCGATAGGACCAAAAAACAATCGATAGTATGTAAAAAATAAAAAACATCGATACTATCGATAGTGCCATCGATAGTTTTGCACCTCTACCTAGAATGCAGCTTGTCTTAGTCAACGACCAGGAGTGCTTAGTAGATGTGAGGGGTCAGATATTTCCAATTCATTCTTTTTCAGAGTTGAAAGCGAGCCATTCACTTAAAAAGGGTGTACGTCGGGGAGCAGCTCGCTGGGTTTTATTTTATTTTATTTTATTTTATTTTATTTTATTTTATTTTATTTTAT